AATACAAATTTAAAATAAACAATTTCTAACTGGAAAGCACATATAAAGTAGTACAAAAATCAAGTGCAAGAGTCAAAATTAAATTCTAGATTCTTTCACGGAACACCTATTCACCTCTTGTGGAACACCAGTGTTCCACGGAACACAGTTTGGGAAACGCTGCCCTGGAGGAAGAGTCTGGGCTTAGGAAGCTGAAGGCTCCACTCCAAACGGCATGCTCAGAAGATTGCTGCTCATTTGGTTAGAGCAATGTACAGAGGGGTCTTCCTAGCCTAAATCAGAGAGATGTCTTCTCCATTAAATGTTTCCTAAGGCAAAGCTCACTGACTTAATCAGTTCTCAGTGGAAACGAGTGACATACCACACTCCACTGAAAATGTGTCTCATGCAGACAGCAGAGGCAGCATTGGTGTGTGTTGCTGATGAAGATTTAGGGCAGGCAACAGTTTTTGAAGCCTAGGACTCTGGTCGTAGTCCCAAACTGAAAGGAGGGAATCCCAGTCTGGAGAAAACCACTACTTTAAATATACTAAAACTAACTGTACTAAGCTAAAAGAATAACTTACAGTTTTACATACATGTCTGAAAAGCTGGAGAGAGGACACAGGATTCCAACTCAGGCCATGCAGTGACAAGAACTGAAGGGGCATCAACCCACACTGCCTCTTACAGCCTTGCTAGGGAGCATAAGGAGATCTACTGCATGGGTGCATGCGCATCCACATGTGGAATACACCCAGAAGAATGAGCACTCAAAGAAGAAATGAACACTTGCTGGGAATCTGGTGCTGCCAGTAAAATTGTTTGTACAGCACCTGACACAATGGGGTCCTCCTCGCTACTGTAATACAAATATAAAGTGATCTCTGGTGTGTAAACTAGAGCAGTGGCAGTCAAAATCTCCATGTAAGCTTTCAAATGACTGAGGCGGAGATCTGAAAAAGGGCTGCCTCTCAGCCTCTTTACTCCACAAAGGCTTTTGAGCAGGAAGGGGCAACTGTAGTGCAACCCTGGCTCCATTACCAAAGCAGCTATCCAGATGCAATGCAGGATACACAACCAAAACAAACTATAAACTTTAGCTGAGTTGCTAGGTAACTGTTTTCTTGGGGTTTTAGCTGCACATTTCAAGTGTTCTACTGATTGTGGCAGTTATCTGGGAATAGGGTTGATAAAAGGCACATCACTCAACCTCTACCCTTTCCAGATGTTGCTTTGTTACACAGATGGGAAACTGAAGTTCACTGTTTGAATTCCATGAGCCTTGGTCAACGGTTTGGAGTTTGTGTTATCACAACTGGATTGGACAGTAGGCGAATATGTTCTCTGAACAGGTCACGTCAGAGGAGTTAGTAGCAGTGAACTTCCATCCTTACATGAAGACGACTATCAGACCAAAAAGAAAAGGAGTACTTGTGGCACCTTAGAGACTAACCAATTTATTTGAGCATAAGCTTTCGTGAGTTACTCATGAAAGCTTATGCTCAAATAAATTGGTTAGTCTCTAAGGTGCCACAAGTACTCCTTTTCTTTTTGCGAATACAGACTAACACGGCTGCTACTCTGAAACCTATCAGAACAAAACCAGCACTCATTCCTGACCCCTGCCACAAACTGCACTTTTGGGGACATATTAAGGATGTACAACGTACAGGGGCGATTCCCCTGCTTGCATACACATACTTGCCCAAGTACAAAGTGTAGCTGCAGTAGCAGAGCCACAGCTTAGCCATGCCGAGTATGCTCCCACATGGTTCAGATAGGTTTATACTCAGCCTGGCTAAGCTCCGCCTCTGCTGCTGCTACCTGCGCTACACTGCTACTTACACGCATGAGCACTAGCGCAAGTAGGCATGCGAGCAGGAGAAATCAAGCCGCTGGCTTGTAGCACAGGCACAGCTTAAGAGAACTCCCAAAACAGGGAGGGCCTTGTTCTTTAGCCAGGCCACTTCTTGACCATCATTCCTTGACTTCTACACTAACGCCTCTGGTTTGGGTTTCCCAACTATCTGGATCTGTGGTTGGGCTAGTCATGAAAACTTACCTGAGCTCTGTGCAAAGCAGGGACAAGTTAGCCAACAGCTGTTGTTCAAATCATTCAAGCCATTCTGCACCTTCATACACTTATTTTCTCCTGGCAGTGCATGGCAGCCTACAGGAGCCTGCTAATATTTTTAATGCATTTGTTCCAATTTGGAATGGGGAAAATGTCCAAAAACAGACCTTTTAAAGTTTTTCCAATAGAAAACATGAGACAGAGACCCCACCTTCAGTATAACCAACAGTTTGGTGGCTAGGGGACTAAGCTGGGATGGGAAAAATCTATGTTCACATCCCAGGTAGAGGAGAGAGAGAGTCTGGAGAAATTCAATCACGGACCTGAGAAACCTTCTAATGAAAGTTTTGAACACAGTACATTCCCAGTTTCCATTTTGACAAACAGCAATCTTCCAATGGCAAAAAAGCCACCACGCCCCCGAATTCCTACTAGCTTTAATCATCCGATCGCATCCATTTCCTCACATTTCAGACATGCCTATTTCTAAATAGGCCCTCTGTCACTGCCAGGTACCCTCCCAATTTTTGCTTTAAATGGACTAGTTGTGTGTGCCTAGACAGGACCAAACCAGACCAAGTACTCGGCCTTTACAAAGCTGTACCAGGATTTAACTTTTTGGGGCTAGATGCAAGGCAAAGGCCTTCTTGTTTTAAGCATGGTGATTGGAACACCCTTTCAAGTACAAATGCAGGATAGGACATAGCATTAGGAGGCCTGCATTCTATTGCCAACTCTGCCACTGACTTGTAGCAGGGTCTGGTGCATCTAACAATGTACAGTTAAGTTAGCATGGGACAGCAGCATACCATAATACCATATGTATTAATGTTTCTTGAGTATCCAAATCTCTGAAGTCCCCTTTAAGAGATCCATGGCTGCCTCTCCCTCTCACCTTACTATTCTGTTCAATTTAGCTTCTTACATACAAACATCTCTGGTATCTGTACACACTACAGAATAAAAATACCATACGGCCTGCATCAATACATTGTTTCTTCTCCATTTCCCCCTACTTTGAGGAAAAAGTGCAATACTTAAGTTTTTTTGCTCTATGCAAATGGTGATGTTATTAGTTGCTTTGTAGGAAAACAGATCAAATGACATTCGTAAATGGAAGATCTCCCAATAGAGGTGTTTCTAGCGGAGTCCGAGAGGGATCTGTTCTTAGCTCAGTGGTATTCAATATCTTTAAAAATGATGATCTCAAAAGACAAAATCATTACCTTTCTGGTTAAAAACAAACCAACCAACTTTCAACGATGGTGGAATGGTAAATTATAACGGGGAAGGTCAGATCTATACAACCCCCTGGATTACTTGGTAAGCTGGGCTCACTTGAACATGTATGTGTGACCAATTGCAAGATCACATCTAGGAACAAAATGTACACTTACAGAACAGGGGACTGAAACCTGGAAGCAGTGACTCCAAAAAGGAGGTAAATCATGGTTAACCAGCTGATCTTAAGCTCCTAATGTGGTGGCTTAGAGTATTAATGTGACCTTTGGAGGTATAAACAGGGGAACATTTGAATAGGAGCAAGGTTGTGGCATTACCTTTGTAGATGGCATTAGTAAGAATGCAGTTTCCAGTTCTGGTATCCACACATAGTGCAGATCAAGTGGTGATTTGATCATGGTCTAAGTACCTATATAGTGAGATCTCTGAAAGTAGAGGGCTCTTTACGCTATCAAACACATAGCAAAATTCAAGTGAGGGTAATGAATCACTGGAACACTGTTGGATTCTCCATCACTTGACGTCTTTAAATCAAGATTGGGTGTCTGTTTCTAAAAACACTGCCCTAATTCAATCACAAGATAAGGGTCTGATGCAGGAATTACTGGGTGAAATTCTTTAGCCTATGTTAAGTAGGAGATCCCTTCCGGCCTTAAAAATCTACAAAAGCAAGTTTGGAATAAAACTTTGCAATTTAACCCAAAAGGAGTGAGATTGTGGTCATACTTTGTGCTGATTACTCCTACAGGAACTTTCTCAGGATAAAGCTAAGAAAGTCACTTAGTATAGTTGCCACCTCCTCTCCATTTTCATTCTTGTTTTACCTCCCTATCCCCACATTTTTCTTTTCCTTCCTGGTATTGTTGATCCTTTAAGTTCCCCACCTCCTATATAGGCCATATGCTGCTCTTTCTACTTGTGAATGGGTGAGAAATCCACTGATGGCAAGCAGTGTAGCAAAAACAAACAACAACTTTAGTAAACAGAAGAGTCGTAGGAAAGCTACTTTGTAGTATGAAAAAGTAGGGAGCTAGTAGGCTAGTTCTGTACATTCATGGTCTCCAATACTTCAGAGATTTAAAAGCTTACTTCAGGGATTTGCGTATTACAAAAGCTACATTCTCAAGGAATAATTCCATTTTAAAGAATCAAAACAGTTTAGTTGGTTACCTTCGGTTAGTGAAAACCTTACAGGTGAGAGTCTCGGACTTTCTATGTTCGTTAGTTGTGTAAGTGTTGTCTACTCCAGTGAAATCCATTCCCTGCCCAGTCCTAATAAAGCATATGATCTCATTTACAAGCCTTCAGACAGAACGTTAGGAGGTGTAGAATGTATTATGTCACCCCATGACAGACAACTGAAAGCTCAAATATTACCATACAACAGTAATTTATAAAAAAGCCTTCTCCAAGTATATAATACTATTCAACTTACCCATCCCTCCTGCTACTGTACAAGTTACACATTAAAGGTCTAACTAGTCAGACCTTTAGATGAGCATCTATTTACAAGCCACAAAGCAGCGATTTTGTAGAGTAACTTTCGTCCAGATAAAAACAGTATAATCTTGACATTTTATTAATGGGCTTCATACTATGCATATTCTGGAAGGCTGTGGAGAAGAGTGATGACTGTCTTTTCTCTTAATTAGCTACTGAATTTGAGAGTTGGAGGAACAGATTACTTTGGCTATGCATAAGATTTGGGAAGTAAAAATCAAACTGTTTATTATTTACCATTTGAAAGCATTTTACACAGGTTTTGATCTTCAGAATACCCTGGAATCAGTAGAAAAAACTTTAAATGAACAGTTTTGTATAATAGAAACCTTTCAGCAGTCAAAATTCTGACTAAAAAAATACATGCAAAACATACTCCTCTCAAAAACACAACTTTGAACAAAGCACCGAACTACACAGATATGCAGAATGAAACAGCATTTTAACTTCACCAAAAAGTAGTCTTCATAAAAGGTGTAAAAGTCACCTATTCACTAGGCACTGCTCACTTTTTAAACAGAATAGACAATAAAAATATTGTCCACATATCTGCGATCCCAGCTCAAGGGCTGTAGTTAGAAATTCATTTAAACTTCATGTTTTAATAGCGACCTGTAAGAAAAAAAGTATACAAAACGAATTAATGTATATTACTACTAATAGGCTAAATCTTTAACAATATCAGTCAAAACCTTTCAACATCTTGATCACCTTGTCCAAGTAGGTAACAGAAATTCAAGAGCTAAGGGCTTGTCTGCATAGGGAAATTTACCAGCATTAACTATAGCACTGAACTTCCCTGTGTAAACAAGCCCTCAGATACTTGACATATGGAGGACTGGTGTTTCAAGGTACTGAGAAAGGACAGGGACAATGCAGATTACTATGTACGGCAGAAGGATGTTTCCATGTTTATTGGCAAAGAATGTGGGAACATTACTAATGTATTCCTTAAGAACAAGTAAAAATAATGCAATGGCATTCTATTTTAAACAGAACCTCCCCATATGAATACGTCAACAGAATGTGCACTGATAGTGAGATACTCCAGACAGAAGCCCTTATTTTAGCAACTTTTTGATATTAAATATACTAATACAAAAGCCATTACTCGGACTTTAATCTCAGATTAATTTAAAAAAAGTGTTCTCTGTCCTATAGAAGGTACCATGTTGGGAAACTCCGTTACAACATGTTAGCCTCTTCCAGGATTGACCATTTGATCTTGGGCATAACCAAAACGTTAACCATGACATGGCAATATGGTATAACTGGGTCTCCCATGAATTTTTAAAAGGAAAGTTATGCCTGGCAAGGACACAGTAATGCAAGAAGGCAAGAGTAAAACTGACATTTTCCTTGTCCTTAAAAAGGTGGTCACTTGCATTGAGAACTCAGTTTTTTTCCCCCGCAAGGGGCATTTGGGCAGGAGGAGGGAAGGATAGCTCAATGGTTTGAGCATTGGCCTGCTAAGCCCACGGTTGTGAGTTCAATCTTTGAGGGGGCCATTTAGGGATCTGGGGCAAAAATTGGGGATTGGTCCTGCTTTGAGCAGGGAGTTGGACTAGATGACCTCCTGAGGTCCCTTCCAACCCTGATATTCTATGATTAATACTCTCACCATCTAGTTTAAAGTTCCAGTAGTCGCAGTCTCAAATTTTTTATCTACATGAAAGTCATCATCCAATCAATGTCACAGCCAATTCTAAAACAAGACTTACGAGGTGAATAGGATCGAGATCTGGATCGAGATCTGTAACCTCCTCGGCTGTAGTATGGGGACGGTGATCTTCTCCTGTAGAAAGGATTAACATGATAATTAAGCCAATTCAGGTTTCACAGTAATTAACACTGATCTACACAAATGGAAATGATACCAAGAAATACCATATTATAATTCTCCTTCAACACCCCGTTGCTTGTGATTAGTGTACATGCCATGAAAACTGGTCACCAGAAATTTAAGGTTAATCCTGTCACACATGCACTCTAGCTGCCTGTGCAACATTCTTAACTAGCAGTTGATTCACTGAAAACCATGCACTGCTAAGCTGACACAGGAGCATCTGTATACTGTATTAAAAGATGCTACCTAAAAGTCAGTAAAGGTACTAGAACATAATGGCCATATGGGGTCACACCAATGGTCCATCTAGCCAAGTATCCAGTCTTCCAACAGTGCCAGATGCTTTAGAGGGAATGAACAAATCAGGGCAACTGAGTGATCCACTCCCTGTTGTCCAGTCCAGGATCTGGGAGCACACGAACAGCATGGGGTTTGTCCCTGACCATCTTGGCTAATAGGATGAATCTATCCTCCTGGAACTTACCCAATTATTTTTTGAACCTAGTTATACTTTTTGCCTTCACAACATCCCCTAGAAATGAGTTCCACAGGTTCACTGTGTGCTTGGTGACTGCATGCCTATAGAAGCTAGTAGTGTATGAAGAAAGCAAGCTTGAGGTACTTAATATTTCCAGAGAAAAGGTTTCATTTTATATTTTAAAAAACAACCACGAGTCATGCCAATGTTAACTTTTGGACTATTAAACATTCAAAGACTGAGAAACATTAATCTTAATGTAATCAAACAGCATACCATAAGATAAGTAACAAACCAATACTACTTATCTTAGCTATTCATCACCAAATATTTAAATTGGAAAAAAATTTAACACCAACAGCTGCAATCTCTGGGCTGGTCAAAAATTAGCACCCCCCCAATCAAGGCTCTCTACATTTGTCCTGCCCCCCCCCCACTTATTCTTGTCCCCCAGGGACTAGGTGCACAGAACAGTTTAAGAGTAACTGAAAAAATTCATTACACATGGAAAATTCACAATCTGTGCCAGAGTGTCAAGCTCCATCACCAGCCTATGTTCTCATCAACCTATATAATTTTAAATTAGGTGAACTTTTGTTTTATTCGTTCACCAGCGACCACTACACTTTTTTTTTTTATGCTTCTGGATGTACATTAGGCCTCAACTGTTTGAATTTTTTAGGCAGGCTGTTTCATGAACATTTCTACTGTTCTTTGGATATTAAATCCTGTCCAAGCATACCTGTAAATCTGATCCCTGTCTTGGGCAGCTCTCCATCCTCCTCCTCCTCCACCACCACCTCCTCCTCTGTGAAGACAGAAGCAAAATAACCTTTTTTGCACTTCATTATTTTCAAAAGGTATAAAAACAAGGAAAACAGTGTTATATCTAATATAAAACTACAGCTGGATCACACAGGAAAGACAAGAAAATACCTAAATAAAATGTGCTGCATTGTGTAAGTGAAAGCTACCTGTTTCATCACAGTTCATGTGTGTATTATGCCCAGCATGGTTTGGCAAAAATCACGAAGTGTCTGGGAAAGTTGAGGAAGTCTCATGGTCCAGTTTGCCAATATTATACTTTACAATTTCCTATCCTCCAGGTAGCAGCAGTTTGGGAAAGGAAGAAGCTCCATCATTCAGAAGTTAAAGCCATGAGGTGCAACAGACTGGTATCAGACACACCCAGAGGACCCAGCTCAAAGAATACTCTAGAGTGGTAAGGAAACTGAGCATGGAGTTTATTTTTGTATAGATCTGTGCATTTCTTATGCTACTAAAGGACAGGCAGTGAGTGGTGTTTTAGAATCCTGTGCAGAGTCTGCATATGTTGCGTGTTACACCTATTACATGACCTTGAAGAATTAACTTGTGGGCCCAGACAACCTACAAAGCTGGAGTTGTGGGAGCCACAGGGAGCCTGAGGGGCAAGGCAGCAGCAGAGGCAAGGCAGGAGCGGGGAAGGAGAAGAGGTGTTGGATGGGTCTGGGGTTCTGAGGGGGCAGTCAGGGGACGGGGTCCAGGCTGTTTGGGGAGGCACAGCCTTCCCTACCTGGCCCTCCATAAAGTTTCACAAGCCAAAGGTGGCCCTCGGGCCAAAAAAAGTTTGCCCAGACCTGTCCTAGAAGGAGTGACAGGAAAAAGGACTAAGGGAAACAGTTGCTCAGAAGGGATATTTTGAGCCAGCTAAGGAATAAAAAGACAACCTCAGATTTAAAATCTTATTGTAACTGCACAAAATCTGCCTCAGGCCTGATGATAGGAAGTCATTAAAAAACATATAAAGAAAATTAACTACTAGATATTAGCGTAACATTTAAATTTTGTCTTGACTGTTGCATGGTCCAACTCTGTTCATGCAACCAATCTGAAGATTCAGATGTAACATGACATTTTTCATCAAGACCACCACCAACCGGCTATATTCACGTGTTTTAAATAAATTTCAAACAGTTCTACAATTTATTTATGGCAACATATGTTAACTATGAGCTTTCAGTCACCTTAAGTACAACCATGCTAGGTTTGTCAGGCTTAAATCCTCTGCAAAATAAAACAGCGATTAAGCCTCATTGGCACTGCCACTTGAAAGGCTAGAGGGCAACTGTTAATCTACACCATAGAATTCAAAGTTCCTAGACTACCCCTGCATTCTACGGCGTTCTCTACAATTCAACCCTGCATACGTCTAAGCTTTCACTTTCTCCCTTAATTTGGTTTCTCTTCTCATTTCCTAGAGTTAGTCGCTGTGTTGGTGGATCCTGAAGCAACTGTTGTCCATAACAGGCTTTACAACAGGAAAATCCAGCTATGGGTGCCAAGGAGTTAGCGCATAGATATGAAGCCGTGAAATATGATTGCCCTCTGTTTTATAGAAAGGCTATGTGACATTTTCGTAGTACATCTGTCCAGTGCAAGGACAGGTTTAATTTATGACCCTGTCTACACTTTAACTTTCAAAATAATCTTCCACTGTTGTACTCAAAGTGGCAATAACTTTTGAGCACTGGTGGTCACTGCTATTTTTACCGCTGTGTTGACTAAGTTTCTCCAGAACATGGCTAGACCACCAGATGGGGAAATGCAAGTGGTAGATGTCTATACTAGTACTTTCACCACTGCTGTCTCTTGGAGATTCCTTCCCCCCCACCCCACCCCCTTTTGGGCCAGTGTACAGAAGAGGCGTGTATGTCCGCTTGCTCTTAAAGCTGAAGTATTCACAGCAAACACACTATTAAGCTATTAAACTACTTATACAGATATATGTAAGTATAGCATTATGGACTATTTATGTTGAAATTAGAGATCTCATTCAAATTGAAATTCTGTCTGCCTGTCACATTGCCATCTGTTATTTCTGATGTACAGCCAAACAATTATTTGCAGTAAAGACCAAAGATTTCAAAACCAGAGCTTGGATGTAAAACAGTGACTTCAAATGAATTTCAAAAGGTACAGTTATAAAATTTAGTAAGTTAAAGAAATGCAAATAATTTACTTCCAAAAGCACGAGTTTCAAGAGAAACTAGCCCATGGTGATCTGCACATATTTTGTTATTTGTTAATAGTAGCTCACCTATAAGATCTGCTGTAATATTCACGATCATCATACCCTCTGTCATACCCTCTGTCATAGTAATCTCTTCGTCGGGAGCTGCCACTGCATGGAATAGTGAAACAAAGTTACAAAAATACAAAATACTGCATACAGGCAAGCCTAGCTGAGTCCTACAGCACTGTAGGAATCTTCAAATAAGGTAGTTAGGAAATATAACTGCAATCTCAACTTGGATTTAATTTTTTGACATGAACACTAAGTTTAAAGATTGCAGGAGGAATTCTTTTCTATGACAACTTTCATCTATTCCTAACTTTCGGGGAAAAAAGTCCCCTTTGGAAGGATTTTTCCTTAGGTGAGGCCAGTATCATAGAAGATTAGGGATGGAAGAGACCTCAGGAGGCTATCTAGTCTAACACCCAGTAGGGACTTAAATGTATGAACACAGTTTCAGTTACACAGCTACTAAACTGACATTTCAAAAAAGCTGTCAGCTGACAAAAATGTTTTCTTCAAGACTTTCAACTTGAGATCTTAGTTCTCATATGCCTTTGATGGTATGAAACCAAATTTTTAATGTAAGCGTTTTAGATTGCAAACTCAGATTTAAAGTTATACATTTAACATTTCTGGGTATGGCCTCTCCTACTGTTGGTCTCCAACTACCCATGCCCTCTTGGTTTTCCTGGCACCACTTCCCAGGGAAAACAATGATGTTGATAGATCTGGACGAGTCACAGCAAGTTAAGAACTGACTAAATTACGGAACATTAGAAAGGTGGATACAAAGTACTGAAATTGATGCATTTTTGGTGCTTTAGGTTTTTTTAAGTGTTCTATTACCAGTAAGTGACATAAGTTCATGTAGTTTTATTTCTATTTATGGTTATCTAAACACAAAGTTACAAGTCAATAAATTATTGTACACAAATGCATCTTGACTTTTTACAGTTGGAAAAAGCATACAACCTTTGAGGGCTACCCCCAAGTAAGAATTAAATAAAAATTATGGAATTTGCTTCAACAATAACTACACAAGTTAGTCATTTTCATTAACGGAGTGGCAGTTACTTCGCTAATAAGTGCCATCATTTGACATTTTAAAAGGTTGTTTTATCTAAAAATTCAATTTTTAGATAACTGTCAAGGGGGAAAAAAGTAGTTTGATACGTAGCCCCAATGTTGACTGGCATGATTTTGTTAACATTTGGTGCAAGTATACAAATCAAGGTGCACTATTATTTTATGCCCATATACTTAGAGTTGCATGTTTACTTTTGAAAGTCTGGGACTTTAACAAAAGTACCAAAAAACCACCACCACGTGGATGGAGAACTCCTACAAGAGCAGAGATCATTTAACAAAATAAAACAGACTACTTGGCGAACAAAATGTGCATTTCCTTTATGCCACTTGTGCTATTCAATGTCTGAAATAACTTACTAAGTTGGTCTCCCCATGTAGATGCCAGGTGTGGGGGTGTGAGGCCTTTTTGTTATGGAGAAATCTACCCGGATTCTTCTCCCATCAAGTTCCATTCCATTGGCACGCTCTTTAGCCTATATGGAGTGAAACAATCATGATTTAGACAGTTTTAACTGCAAACAGATTAACTTCAGCCTAATAACTGCTAACCCAAGTTTCCATCAACTACTTCTCCTTTCTCAGCTAGCTGGGGCTGGATCATTGATCTGTCTTTTCCAAGCCTGCCAGTCCAATGCTTGCTCCATACCCACTCCGTCCTCCCTTACAGTCTATCCACTGTTTACTTGGTTGTCCTCTTGTTCTCAGGCCGCAAACTCTAGTCTCAGATGTCTCCCTAATGGAATGCCTTTCATCCATCCTTGTACATGCCGATACCATCTCAGCTTCTTTTATAGCTTCTCTCAGATACCGCAAACCTCGGTTTCACGCCTGATGACATCATTCCACACGTGGTCCTGCAAGGTCTCCCCCTCAAACATCTCATTTCAATAGCTTCAAGTCTTCTCAAGTGCCTCTCTTTGGTTACCCATGTCTCTGATCCACACAGAAGAGCTGGTCTTACCATGGTTTTCTATCGTTGCCCATTATGTAATCTGAGCATTCGTTTATTAGAAGTCACTCCACTTACCTTGTACCAGACTTCCCCCATGCTCAGCTGTCTTGGTTATGGTTCTCTGATTTCTCTATTTGTCACTAACCAGCCCCACAAGTTAAACACAGATGATACCTGATTTAGGTGCTGGCCCTCAATGTTGATACTCATCTGTCTTTGTTCTGAGCAAGTCACTCACATGATTTCGCTTTTCTTTACTCATTTTGACTCTACAGTTTGTTAGTTCCCTATTGCTGGCATCAATTGCCTGGACCAAATCTTCCTCACCATAGGCCATTAGCAAAACTTAATTTGTATAGATCTTCATACAACCTTCCATGTGGATTTACTTACCTATGAAGTCTATCACAATTATGAATAGTAATGAACTAAGCACTAATCCCTGGTGGAGTCCAGCCTTCACCCTTGAAACACTGAAGGGCAACAGGCACCTGTGTCATAGAACCCTCATACAAACCCATCACCATCTGGACAAGATCCTCCAGTACCTCACAGAATTAGAGAGGCACCAGCAGTCATGTATGTATTTTGCCAGATGCTCTCTCTAAAAAAAAAAAAAAAACACAAAAACAAAAACAAAACCCAGCCTAAACAATGAACCATGCTAGATATTTCCCTCCAGCTTCTTTATCACCAACTGTCTGCCAATGAATACACTATCTGCTGTCCATTTTCCTTTTCTAAAGCCAAACTGCTTCTTTCCTTAAATGGACTCCACATTTCAAAGAATGCAGCTATGATGCTCACACAGTGGGTCAGGTCACTTGTGTTTCTATATCAGTAACAATATGGAATTATCTTTTTTTTCCCCAGAGTGTAGGATTCATGTAAGCCAATGTATCTTAGCCTCTCTCAAGGCTTTGATCATTTCCACCATTACTTCATCTGGACCTGCTGCTTTTCCAGGTGACCTGTGGGCAGACCTCAAGGCATCTACATTCATAATTATATGCCGCATTGTCATGCAAAGCAATAAAGGGTTTTCCACATTAAGTAGACCGCCCCAAAATTTTCGTTGTCAGTTACATACAAGACCCCTGCATCCTTTCTGGTGTGTTTTCTTTGTCATCTTCCTTTTGTTTCTTGTCCATGAGATCATATACATTTTCTTTTTGGCAAACTGAGAACAACTGTGAAACTCATACAACGTATCCAAAATTAGGTTTCTTGCCTTCCATACTGCTTGTTTGGAGGCTCTATAGGTGACATCCACTTCTTCTGAAGGTTTCAGAGTAGCAGCTGTGTTAGTATGTATCCGGCAAAAGAAAAGGAGTACTTGTGGCACCTTAGAGACTAACAAATTAAATAAATGTTACTCTAAGGTGCCACAAGTACTCCTTTTCTTTCTTCTGAAGGGTTATTTTCCTGATGCATGTTTCATTGGAGCAAAGCTCATACTGGATCCATTTGCCAGTTGCGACCATTACAACCAATGTGCTGGGGGTACAACTGCTTTTCCTTGGGTAACAGTACACTCATCTTCCTCTGGTTCATTTGGGTTAGCAAGAAGTTGTTTGCATGCTCAATACATTTCTTTGGTGTGTGACTCTTTTTCTAAGATAAATGATGGCAATTACCCACTGACTGCCTAGACAGATATCAAGCGGTGCAATGCCCTCCACATTCTGTAATCCCAGTTCATATCATCCTCGTGTATGCTCATAGCCTGACTTGAGCCTGCATAAGCAGTAATTTCTCTGGTCCAACCTCTAAGTCTTAATACAGTTCAATTACTTATTGTTTGGATTGTGATTTCAGCAAGATCATAAACTCATTAAATTGAGTTTGTATTTAGGAGGATAACTCTGGTACAACTGGAGATCTACAAGTATTTTTATTTAAAGCATACCTCGCACCCTGTATTTTGTGCTGAGATACCTACAATGGACAGGATCTAATAATTCCCCAAGATGTCTTACAGCTCTTATATGATGAATAGAGTTAGGCTTTTGGGATATGTGTAAGTTACTTTCACCTCCAGCTGTGGATGGGCAACATTAGTAGTCTAACTGCCATGGTCAGGTACTAGTCTCCACCAAGTGCTCTGAAAAGGTGTTCAGTTTTATTTATCATTGACATTTGAAATTTTGCTTCAACGTGTATTTTAAACCTAATATGATTGTGGCTTTGGGCACATATCTGATTAAATTAATCTAATATAAAAACTAAAACCATATAAACCTTTTAAAATATTGTTTTAAGACTATCATACATTTACCTGTTTTTCAAGACCTATATCCAAAATCAAATGCACCCCAGGGGAAGTCTGAGTTTAATATCTCATCTACTTCAAATTGAGAGAGTTACAAACCAGTTAACTTTTAAGCCTAATTACATATTTAAATCAACTGAATGGAGGATTTTAATACTAAAATAGTATTTCGCTCATCCCAGAGGATCCTAAAGCAATTTACAAATTCTATTCATATAAACAATACTAGTGAAATGCAACCAACCAACCAGAAAGAAAAAGCAGCTTTAGTCAAACACACGCAACCAGCTGTGTGGGACTATCTATTTCTCACCAACGTAGGGCTGAATTGACCATACTGATATTTTAACCTGTGGCATTTGAAATAGTGATCACTAAATCATTCCTTTCAGAAATCTGTCTTTTAAACAATTGATCAGTTCGAGTAAATACATTCATAATCCCATCAGTTATTTTGAAGAACTGTTAAACTACAGAAAATAAATGCAACACTTTCAAGAATGCTATTCTTGTTCTTGTCCAGGTGCATATTTTCATTATAGCAGTTTTAAATATTAATACTGTACCTTAATTCCTTTTCTACAGTCTCAAAAAAAGGTTTAAAAAATTAATTTTACAGGGCTATGTACTAGTTATACAGGAATAAGTTTTTAATATTTGGGAATTGCAAATTTTCAAAGTGTTATATTCCAGCTTACCTCCTTTGCATCATCAACATTTTCAAAATACACAAATGCAAATCCTCTTGAACGCCGAGACTGCTGGTCATACACAATGGAAACATCAGCAATTGGGCCATACTTGGAGAACACTTCTCTCAGGTCCCTTTCTGTGGTGTAAAGACTCAATCCAAACACACCGAGACAACAGTTTGGGTCAGGATTTGCCTAGAAGAATAAAAAAAAGTTTCCTTTCAAACTTTTAGCAATTCAGTGACTTTACAAACATGAGTTGATTTGCCATGACTTCAAGACAGAAAAGAAATTGACTGCTATCTAAGAAGTTAGTTTTACTTACAACAGACATCTGTGTTAGGAACAAATCTTCAGACTTAGCTTTCACAAAAACATGTTTTGCATTTCTCACCACAAGAGGAGCACACAATTCCCATGCCAAACTTTGTAGTGGCATCACAACTTTATTTCCAGAAGTGGGTACTGTCTGGAAGTGCCCAACAGTTTATCCACAGAATAGGGCGCTGACTGGTGGATACAAATATCTGTATATTGGTCTGCGGGCACTCCTATATTTGAGTAGTTTGGCATTTATTTTATTCTCCATTTTATAGATCTAAGAGATTAAAAGACAGTTGAGAATGAATATGACTTTTTAGTCAAGCTAATTTGTTTTGGTTTAATGAAGACATCAAGGCAGTTTTCATTCCCCAATCTCCCCCTCAAGTGTCCTCCTAATTAGGAAACTTTGGAAATTAAAAAATGAAGCTTATTTCTTTACTAAATATTTTATCTCTAGTGGGTATGTACACTTATTTGTTATTGTAGGGATGTTCTTGAGTCAGGACTGTTTTGGTAGCTTTTTTTTAAATAAAAAAAGCATTTGTTTGGCAACAAAAATTACATGGACTTTGCAAACAAGACAGATAAATTAAAGGGCCTACCAACTTTGACTATATCCCTTTCTATTAAAATCTTTTAAAGCTTCAGGTTTTAAGGTGCCTCAATATATGACAAAATGCTGTGTATTTCAAGAGAGACTAATACAACAAATCTGGTTTATTAATTTTGAAACCTACACACAAAAAGGTAATGGTCAATCAGACCTGTTTAAGAGAACCACCATCTCAATTTAATTGACTGTGTTTATAGTCAGTCAACATTTGTTTAGAAAAATGTCTACATTAACATACAACTTTCAGTGAACAGGCACCTTAAGTTACTGTAAGCACTGTGAAACTTCAAAAATTACAAGCTCAAATGTGATCAAATAAGGAATATCTGAAGATGCAAATATTAATGTACTGAAGTATGAGTTACCCACTCATAGTAAACATACAAAACAAACAAACAAAAAAAACCTTACAAATACCTGAGATCACGAACTTTTCTTTCACAAATTATTCAAAAAATCATTATTAACATTTAAAATGTGGTAATATAGTTAAAAAATGTCATGTTTTGCTGTGAATTTTTATTAATATAGTACACCATGAAGATAAATTTATTTTCCAAATCTGAGAAGAGATGGAAGCAGATAGCTTTTATAGATTCCTTAGTCAAGGGGGAAGACAAGCAGATTGAAAATTGCAATAAACCCACAAAGAGCTAAATTTAACAATCCCAATGCGTTAACAGTTTTACCCTGTTTCCAACATGACGCCTACGAGTAGACATAGGGGAATGGCTGTGACTGTGTCGTCGTCGATAATCCCGACTGTAAGACCGGCTCCTGGACCTCCTGTGAGAGCGGGAACGAGAGCGTGATCTTGTATAGTGTCTACGAGAACTCCTCCTTGATCTAGATCTGTGCAGAGAAAGAACTAAGTTACTTCTGAGGGGTTACCATGTTGCAACTACACATTAACATGAGGAAATCAAATACTCCATTTTCTATTTATAGGTAATTTTTAACTTAAAAATCATGTTGTACTACATCTTGTAGGGCAATACAAGTACTTATTTAATCACCAGTTCAAGTTTCTCAATTCAATCTTTACAGTTAGATTAGATTCCTTTAGAGTATTCATCACTATAGTGGGCCCCCATATAATTGCAAAAATAGAATTCCAAACTCCATTTCAACTCCAAGCGATTTCCAATCATTCATAATTGTTGATTTGAAGCAGTTTATGCATAATCTAATTGCAAAAGATGAATCAATGTTTCCACAAAAAGAGGGGAAAAATGGCACCTTCTTAGACAAAGATACTACAAAGAAGGGGACCAGAGATATGAGACACAAATATGACTGCAAGCACAGTTTTCTTTTTTTTTTTTTTTTTTTAAAATGAGGTGAGACTGAGATGACCATTGTTCATTTCAAGAGGGGACATGACAGAGGTTTATAAAACATTGAAAGATAAACCAGATACTCCTATTTATCCTCAATAAAAGAGGATACCTAATGAAGCTGAAAAACAACTACTTTAAGAACTGTGAGGAAATAATCTTAATATAAAACAAACATACAGCACTTGCCCAAAAGGCATTAAGATGAACCGCTAAGTGTGATTTGAAAAAGATTAGACATTTATATTGAGTATGAGACCATCCAGTTACTCTAGCTATTAAAACTCACCACTAACTATAGTTTTGAGTGTTGCCATTGTACAGTCACACTTGTGGTAGGGACCCCCTGTGCAACTGAGCTTCTGGAACCTTTCTAGAAAAGCAGTACTTGCTGGGACAGTGAAAATGCCCTCTTTCAGCATTCAATATTCAGAGATCATAAGAAGCTGTGCAATCCCAATTTGCTTTAATTCCTTCCATTAAACCTTTTAGAGCTCTTAAAACAGTAGAGCTGTTAAGAAGGGAATTTGGGTAATGAAGCCAGGTAACATTCCTTGAGCTTTATGTTAGAACTTAACTAAGTGGGGAATTAGCTTAATATAGTGCTGACCACAACCTGTCCATGTCTACAGTGACTAACAGTGGTCAGCATATTACCTTACTTGACCCCTCAACAGCGATGTTAAAGAAATTTGTAGTTGAGAAAAGCCCTTGAAGAATACAAGTTGATGGTCAACCTCTCTTCAAAGTAGTCTCTGCATATTCCCTTTTATGACTCAATCTCCAAAAGGACAGAGGACAAGAAGGGACTAAAGGAAATGCAAAATGGGTCTAGACTTCTGGGCAACCTGTCAAATTTGAAACTGGATCGATGTTGAAGAAAATGTGCCACACTTCACCTATGTTTCAAGTGACTTTATACTCTTCAGCTGCAGAGACTTCTGTGGAAGGGGTAATGGAGATAGATGAAGGGTATTACTTCTAGAATCTAAGAGACAAGGGGTGGGGAGGGACGGGGAAGAAGGGGAAGCTAACTTTGTTCAAGTTGTACCAACCCCTTAGATGGTGCTGCAGATGTAGTCCTTCTTTTGAGTTTTCTTTCTATTCTAAGCTTGCCATTAAGAAAAGGAAGGTTTCCTACTTTGGCTTGTGACTAAACCACCAAGCAAGATAACTTGATCTAAGCTCAGTTGATAATGCCCGATGTCACAGTTCTGACTAATCTGATGGTATCCAGAAAGCATGGAGGGCATGCCCTGGAACAGAGTGACCCATCAGTTACAGACTTAATGGGCACTGAGAAGATGGGTCAAGAAAAGGAAATACCTGACCGCAAACCTGCAATTGATATCAAAATACCTTAATCACTGGTGACATAGAGAATGCCAAGTCAATCTTCCTGGCATCTGTCAAAAAGGGTTGATAAAAATCAATGTTTATTTAAAATTAAAAAAATCAAATCGATTTTTTTTATTTAAAATTGGATTTTTTGATAAAACGCTTTTTGAGGAAAAACCTACCTAAAGAAAGATATCTGAGCTATAATGAAATCTCATCATGAAATAGGGATTATAAATTCTAATTCTATAGTATGAGTATATATTCATGTAATGTTTAAGAAAAGGTTTGTAAAGGAGTTCCAATAGTTCATGGATTATGGACCCAATTTTATGGGGTTCCAGGGGCTTCTGTATAGATTGAGGTTAATCTTTCTATCTACCCAATGGGACTCAGTGCTCAGTCTAGAAGATACCATCAGAAATGCTTAGTTTTACAGTTCTCAAACTGTGGATTTGTGTGTCCAGAGGTAACATGCTTGTTAACAGCAAAAATGTTTTAAAATATACAGAGGTGAGAAAACCTCAACCCTATTGTCCCTTGGCAAATTTGTGTACACAGAGTCAATCCCTTATCTCTCTCTAAAAGTGCAAAGTTTCAAAAAGTTCAATGAATAGAAGACTGTTGGAGGCAGAATAGATCTAGACAAGGAAAAATGGTCTGGAGATAAATGTGAGAAGGGAAGGACAGGCAACAGAAACCACAGTGAAACTGTTTGAGCAGCATATTCCAGAAGCCTTGAGGTCTCTCTCAGTGTAGCCTTCATTGATTTGAGATCTACCATACCATTCTCTCACTAGAAGGGAAAACTTATAATGGTAGCAGGCCATAAGAAAGACCCAGTTTGGGAATATTTTAATGAAGTTCCTCTATCTGTGGGTAAGATGGGCATGCGTACAAAATGCAAAGTGCAACAAAGAAATGCAAGGCCTTATTGCCCGAATGAAACATCACGAGAAGTGTTCCTTCTCAGAAGGAAGCTGCGTTGAAGATGATGAAAGGAACATGGCTGAACACGCAGGATCTTCAGGTTGGTGAACTTTTTTATTTCATATTTCTTTCTTAAGCACTGCCTATCTTCCTTCTGGACTAGTCTTGAATTCTCATGTTTGATCAAAAAATATAGTTGTTATTCTATGGTACTATCATTGTAGATGCAGTTGTGATAAAAAAATAGCTAAAATAAGTAGATCTTCCTTTTACAATTTCACCTTTAAAGTAGTACTGAGTGTCAGTGAATGCAATGAGTAATACTAAATGAGCAGTATGGTGGTAATTAAATAACTGCATTGACTTATTTTGTTTAGGAGAATTTCATCCTCAACATACAGGATTCTGAAGACTATCCACCTTCACCATCACCATCATTTTCTACAGTTTCAGAATTATCTGCCAATGATAGTGTTTCAGTCACATCATGTATGTCACATAACCACAGTATATCACCTGTGGCAAAAAGAAAAAAAATCTGTCATCCAGAAACAACCATAGATAAGTTTGTGATAATAACCAGCAGATTACAAAAAGTGGTAATTGATGAAAACATTGCCCGGTTTGTTTATGGAAAGGACAGTTTGTTGCATAGGATTGAGAACCCACACTTCATTAACATGGTTCAGCATTAAGACCAGGATACAGTCCACCCAACAAAGCAGATGTTGCAAGCAAATTGCTGGATAATGTGTGTGAAAAAGAAATTGAGCAGTGTGCAAAAGTTCTAGAGGGTAAAACTGTCAACCTGAGTCTTGATGGGTGGAGCAACGTCCACGATTCTGTTGTATGTGCTTGTGTGACAACAGAAAAAGGGACCGTCTTCCTTACAGAAACAATTGATACATCAGGAAATGCGCACACAGCAGAATACTTACAAGAAGTAGCAGTCAAAGCTATTAAAAAACTGAAAAAATTTAAGTGTCTAGCATGCAGCTTGGTCACAGACAATTGCTGCAAATATATCCAAGATGAGAAGAAATTTAGGAGAGCGCGAAGAGAGTCCCAAGCTAACGACACATGGTTGCAGTGCTCATTTGATGCACTTCCTAGCCAAAGACTTAAGTGTTCCAGAAATAAAGGCGAATGTTGTTGAAATTGCAAAATACTTCCATATCAACCACTTTACAGCAGCAGCTCTGAAAAAAGTGGGAGGAACCAGGCTAACTCTCCCACAAGACGTGCGACGGAACTCAGCAGTGGACTGATTTGAGCACTACATCAAGAACTGGCCTAATCTGATGACAGTTTATGACCAAAATCGTGAAAAAATAGCTGGCACTGTCACAGCTGAAGTTCTCAACATTGGGCTTAAGAGAAATGTTGAACACATGCTGAGTACCCTGAAGCCTATTTCTGTAGCCTTGAACAAAATGCAGGGAAATACCTGTTTTATTGCTGATGCTGTTGAAATTTGGAAGGAACTAAGTGAGATCTTAAAAAGAGAAATATGCAATGACAGAGTTAAATTACGAGCATTAAAAAAAACGAATGGGACAAGCACTATCTTCAGTTTATTTTCTTGCAGATATTCTCAATACTTAGTACCAGGGTCAAACCTTAACTGCTGAAGAGGAGGAGTTAACATGGACAAGGAGCTGACATGGACATCCACCAATCATCCCTCCATAATGCCAACTTTAATAAACGTCAGAGCTAAGGGTGAACCATTTAAGAAATATATGTTTGATGATTATGTTTTAAAGAAAGTCACACCAGTGAACTGGTAGGAAGTCACTTAACCACTTGGATTCAGTGATAATCTCACTTAAGAGCGGTAGCTTCCTTCCACTGGAGTGGAAAGAGTATTTTCTTCCTTTGGACTAATTCATTCCAAATTGAGAAATCATTTGGGACCTGAAAAAAGCAGGAAAGCTTGTTTTTGTTTTCCAGATTATGAACAAATAGAAAAATGAAGGTGAAGACGACTGAGTTAACAGCAGAAGCCAATATTTTTAGTTTCTCATGTTGACCTGGCTGACAGTCTATTTAATTTTTGTTTTTTAAAAAATATTTCAATTAACTATTTTAGTTAAATATCTGCTTCAATTACCTTTGGTAAATGAAATAACCCATCATTCATTTTCTGGTATAGCTGTAAAACTAATCTGAAAATATATCACTTTAAAAAATGTATAGTGTGTACCTTCTAAAAATGAAGCCTACATCTGAGTTGTGAAGAATATG